AACTAACACATGTTTTCACTATTTCAAAAAGCAATATAGCCTCTTAAGGTTTAGCCAGAGGGTAGGGTCAGTTACAATATCTGAGATCAAAGAAATTTTTTAGTGAGTGATGTCCCAATTTATAATTGAAGGAAACAATAGAAAGCAAATCAATAGATCAATTATAAATTTGCTAAAATAATTAATTGAAAATATTAATATAAACACATGCCTTATAAATATCAATATCAATAACTAGGTAAATGCATAAACTATGAACTTATAAATTCAAACAAAAATTATTAGAAGTTCAAATTTCCTTTCCTTCTACTACTTTTTTTTTTATAAATTTCTACGCGTACTTAAACTTCTTAGGATATATATATATATATCATTCAATATAAAATTCATATATAGCAAAAATATGTCACGCCCTGAAAATTGAGGGTGACTGGCATGGGATGTAAACCACGTCGCACATCCCTTAAGCCTTAAATCGAGAGATTTTTTAATTATTAAAATATAATTATATTTATATTAATTTATAACACGCACGACCATTTTCATCTTAATAAAAGTTTCAATATTTTTGTAGAAATTTTGCAAAACCTCCTCTAAAAACAGGATCTCCCAAAAACTCTACAACACAATATTTTACACAAAAGATCATTTTAATCAAGAGCTTAGCTCCATCCAGCCAGCAAAAAAAATATGCAACAAAATAAAAAAACCTAAATATAGACTATGTGGAGCACCTAGATATAAATTTACAAAAATAAAATTTCATAACTCAAATTTTAAATAAACCTTAGGTCCTTCAATTCTGGTCAACAATAAATCCCCTCAATATTAATCCACAGGAGGTTTAACATCGACTACACTATCTGGACCAAAATCATTTCCAGTGAATAACATCCCAATAACAAATAATTAAACATGAATAAAAAAAGCTAAAAATAATTATGTAAGTTAAAAAGACAACGATCTCCATAAAAATTCAAATAAATTCAGAATAAAAGATTCTATATAGCTTGAAATGAAGTCTTGAACCGTTAAGTTATCATATCAAATATTGTTATCACTTAATTTCAAGGACGCAAATAAATGAAATAAGTAATTAAAAACAGATTATTAATTAAAACCAATGGGATATAAAATTATTAAATAATCAAATTCATATTTATAGAGACTTGTCAAAACAATTAACAGACGTGGACATACAATCCACGAGTGTAAATAACTAGACGTGGTCTAAGCCATGAAACAGACGCGAACACATAGCCCAAGAGGGTAAGTAACCAGATATGGTTGAAGCCACGAAACAGACGTGGACACACAGTTCACGAGGGTGAATAACTAGACGTGGTCAAAGCCACGAAACAAACATAGGTATGAGACCCACGAATATCAAACGTGAGAATAGAGCTCACAAAAATCAAACTAGCTAGTTATTGACTATGGCGTACCAAGGGTTAACGGAATTGCCATTGGCAACTAGGTTTTGTATACAATCCCTTCTTAAATTCACTTTCAGACATGCGAAAAAATCGTCACTTTCAAGAATATAATTTCTCTTCCAAATATCAAACTCGCATGAAAACGTATAAAAACATCGATTTATCTGAATATGAAATTCATAACTAATATCTCATAAATTGTTCACCAATTTTCATAGTTAACTTTATCAATTAAAAGATTACTAGAATTTGTAAAAGCATTTTTGTCAATCTGAAAAATATTAAGTCATGACTCCAAGAAGCGAAGCAATTTAATTAACAAAAGTATCTAAAGCAAGAAAAATAGATAAATACCTATAAATTATTAAAAACAATATTTTGATAAAGGAAATTTTCTAATATATAAATTGATTAAGACGTTATCCACTTACCTGAAATGTTCACAAGATTCAAAGTTCATCTCTTATAACTTCAATTGAATTTCTTCTCTTCTAAACACCCTATATAATATATCAAGGTCTTAGTTGACACTGAATAAGTTCAAGAGTTCCCTCCTAACATTATCACCCCCAACTATAATACATTTGAAATTTTTGAACCAAGGCTTTACACATAAAAATTGCTCAATAATCATTTCTAATTACTCCATTAAATTAAGCTTTTGTTAGGACACCAAGTGTGCATTATTTCCAAACCACACAATAAAGCTTTTTAACATTCAACTAGCTACACACATATCTCCACCACGCTTCATTGTTAAATTCCTGTATAATATTCAAGTTAGGTTCAGGAATCATTAACATCCAAGTTAGATATACTTCTTAGATGTGAGTTAGTTAAATCTCAAAATACATGTTCAGACAAAATCCCTTCTAGCAAGTATTTTATCAAACACTTCATAAATATCAAGCCATAGACTAATACCAATTTTTCCCTCATCAATTCCAACTCCCAAAATTTACAATGAAGATATTTAAATCCATCAGACTCCAATATATATATATATATATGTGTGTGTGTGCGCGCCTTAATAGAAAATTAATCTCAACCACAAATAAGTCCCAATTCTTATCTATGCATTTTACATGGTTAAAGGAAAGTAAAAGTCCACAACTTAGCTAAAACACACGCACAGGACAGCAAAAGGAAAGATAACTTAAAGTTCTATAGCTCATATTACCAACCAGAGATGGAGAAGGGAAGGAGAATTCGAAATTCATGCTGAACAGGGGAAAGGAGACTTTCAGTTATTGCAGCAACAGAGGAAGAAAATAAAGGGACCAACAGCAACCTCTTTCAGTACAACAATCTTTCAGCTAGATTCCAGCTGATTCGCGTTGACAGCAGCAAAAAGTGGAAGAAGAAGGTGTAGCTCAGCAACTGTGAAGGAGAAGGAGAAAATCTGAAGCACCAACCAGCACGCCGACGAAGATTAAAAAGAGAGGAAGTCGGACGGGAAGCAGAGTAGGGAGAGCTGAAATTCGAGGCCCACACGCACACGGATGACGTCGCAGCAAGGCAGGGGAAAAACAATCGACGACGCACCTAGGAGAACTCGCGACTCAAACTTTTAGCAGCGGCGGACGAAACTCTAGACTCACCATTACCGGCAACAGCTGAAAACTGGGAAGGAAGTTCAGGGGAGAAGCTTCCCGACCTGTCTCTTATTGGCGGTGAAGAATTAGAGCGTTCGTGTCGGTGAAAAGGAAAGGAAGGAAATGGATTGGACGAGTGCTCTGTTTTCGCGTTAAGTGATATAAATTCCGAACAAAAAAAATAATTGGGAAAACTACAACAAGCGGCACAAGGAAAAATTACAAGAAAAGGAACAATTTTTTTCATAATTTAGAATAAAATAAAACTATATTTTTTCTTAGTAAAATTCAAATTCTGGTCCTTAAAAATTCAAGATAAGTTCTTCTCAATTAATATTCTCCACTTGCTATAGAACTAATTTAAATAAAATATTAATTGGGAGAAAATTTAATTTACATTATCATTAAAAAAAATTTGTATCGTTACAAAATAGCAGTATGCTTTCGGAGATCAAATTTATAGAAAACAAGTTTCAAAAGTCCTTCTTTAGTAGGGCTTAATCAAAATGGTTAACAAGCGTGGATACACAATCCACGAGAGTAAATAACTAACAAGCATGAATATACAGTCCATAAAGGTAAGTCACTGAAAAGTATGGCTTAAAGCCATGAAATAATCAAGCATGGCTAAAAGCCACGAAATAAGAGTGAGTACGATGCTCATGAATATCCATCCCTCTATTCCACGTGCGTTGGCCTACACACGGGACTAGCACCTCCTACAAGCACCCTACTAGTTAGGCGTACCGTGGCTCATCAAGGGCTAACGGAACTACCGTTAGTAACCGGTATTATGAACTTAGTCTCCTTAATCAAAACCAAGCGTACATGGATCTAAACATTCACTTTAAAATTATTCTTTTCAAAATATATGATTCAATTGTCAGCTTCCCTTTTCAACATTTTTTTTCATGTACGAATCACTGTAAAAACAGATTTCAAATCAAATGTAAAATCTAAACAATAAGATTATTTTGAATAAATAATTGATTTATTATGTATTGGATCCAATAGCATAACTTCTTGATAAATAGAATAATTTCAGTAATATTACAATTGAACAAGAATAAGATAAATATAAATAACTATATAAATCATAAAGAAAATAATAGCAAAGACTTTAAACAAATCATTTAAATAAAGATATTTTAAGAAAAATTTTAAGATAATTGGGACGTACTCACCCACCTGAGGGATTTTCAAGAATTTTAAAGCTTGCTTCACTCAACTTTTCACTTTAATTCTAATTATGCTTTTAATTTCCTCCATACAATTATGTTCAACTATAATTTGTTAGAGCTTTCTTATCATCCGTATAAACTTTCAACCCAAAATATAAATTTCTCCTTTCTTGCCAATAAATTCAAATTTAACGATATCAGTTAATTAACCTTATGCTTCTCTTAAGCAATTAATTAAACAAACCTCTTAAGAGCATTTCTATTTGCTCACCACATAACCAATTTTCATACGTCCCAACTTCTTATCCTAATCATTTAATTTCTAAATCAAACTTCCATACAATACTTAAGTACATCAAGAACACAATATCTCAAATTAAATCCCAAACCATCCATTTAAGTTATGCGGGGCAGCAATCAAATTTGGAAACTTCAACTAGAAAGTCTATCACACATATATACATACTCATTCGGCAAACCTCTTCCTTCACTAATTTACACAATAAAGAATTCAATTTCCTTTTTCTTTAGCAAAACCCGGCTGGAACACTTAAATGAAATTTCAGTCACCATCTCCATTAATTACGACAGCCACCACTCAAGAATTATCAACAGAACAAGAGAAAATCAAGTTTACCACACATGCGTGCTACTTCCAGCAGTTAAGGAGAAAGAAGAGACAAAAACCAAGCACACTTCACTCCACGCTGAGCAGAGATCAACGGCAGGCAGATACAGGGGAAAACAGCAGATCTTTAACCAAAAGAGAAAAGAAACAAGAAGCTTACCATACGCATGTGCAACGGCCAGAACTGAGGAGAAAGAGAAGTTGAAGATGACACACATACACATGCCAACTAAATCAGGAAAAGAGCAGAGGAGAACGGCGACACGGCTGGAAAGAGAAGAAAATAGTGACAGAAAACCAACATCTTCACCACTTCCAATAACCCCTCACGACGGCGAGGACAGCACAAGTCGACGGCAACGGAGGAAGCAACAAGGGGGACTAAAGGGAATGGCTAGACGCTGAAGAATGAGAAGGCACAATGTCGGTGAAGATAAGAAAGAAATGAATGACGATGCTCCGTTTTTCCGCACGATAAGAAGAATAAAAATCTGGAATAAGTATAATTGAGAAAACTACAAGAAAGGGCCCAAAGTTTCTGTCAACATAAAAGACAAGGGTAATTTTTTGCAATTTTCCTAAAATTAAAAGAAAATAAAATTAACCTATTGCTTAGGAAAATTTGAACTCTAAACTTTCAGATAAGCTACTACTTTGAGTTAGACAAGACTGCCACTCTTTATTAGCCATAAAACTACTAAAATATTAATTGGGAGAAAAATTCATTGATTTTAAATTTTTGGGTCATTACAAGATCGTTCTTTTTTGGCTTCTGTTGATGGATTTCGTGCAGCATATGTTTAAGCTCTTCCATGACCTAAAACAAATAGTAGCACTATAAAAATACATTGTGCACAATTGATTCTAGTGATAATTATTCAATTTCACAATTTAGGAATTATTTAATGTGACAAGAATTAATATTAATGAGGTGGAAGACAATAGCTTAGAAAAGTACCTAGGAGTTCCTATTAGTTAGTTCACAACCTAAGACACTTCAAAGACTTAAGTGAAAAACAACCTAGGATTTAATTAAACTAATTATAGCTAGTTCATGTGTACTATGTTGTTGTGATGTGTGAATTATTCCTTAATTATGAAGAATGAACTAAAAATAGATTCATCTAAGGAAAACAGAACTAAAATGCCTTAATCTTAGAGCCTGTCTGGTTTTTATTGTCATTTTTTGTTTTTAAAATTATTTTTCAAACAAAAGAAAAGGAAAATCTACTTAGTTGTGTTAATTTAAAACCAATTTTAAAATTAAAAAATCAGTCGATAGTGATGGTAACCAGTGGTTAATGGTGGTGACTTATGATAAGTATTGTTTAAGGTAACTGTAGTTTTTAATAATCAAATGTAATGTATTTTAAAAATAAAAAAATAAAATAAAAATAACTTTAAGATATTTCTATTTTTGAAAAAAATATGAGAATAGTTTTTAAAAAAACTAAATTCAAAAACTCCTCCAAACGAGGTGTTTTTTTTTGGTTTTTAAAAACAAAAAACTCTTTTTAAAAATATAAACTAAACAGGCCCTTAAACTTTGAAACCTTTTGACAATATTTTTGGAAATTACAATTTTTTGGCCCAAAATTTTTGATATTTTCACTTTTTACATGAAAATTTTTAAAATTGCAAGTTGTACCCAAATGATCTTTCCCCTCTTGTATAGAAAAAAAAACCAAGTGATCCAAAAGGTGTATAAAATAGTCATTTCATGAATATTAAATGACAAAACAAATGAAAATGTGGATGGAAAGTAGGTAAGAAATTGGGAGAATCATATTCAAAGACTTGGCCAGAAACTTATTTATAAACAAGGATTAATAACAAGTTTTATTTAAAAAAATAATAATTCCATGTTTCTATTTTAATAATAATCCATTTTATATTAGTCTTTACTTGCGAACACTACAAAAAATTTATTTTTGGCGGCCAAAGTTTAAAAGTCATCGCTAAAGGTTTTTAGCGTTGACTTTTCGTCACCAAAAGTTTGGTCGTTAATAGTTTTTGGTGACGACTATGTTGTTGCCACCAAAAGCTATTAACGATCAGACTTTTAGTGATGACCCTTTGGTGGTAAAAAGTCACCGCTGCTGCCACTAAAAAGCTTTAGTAGCAACTTTTGATGGCGACAAAAAGTTGCCGCCAAAAGTCATTTTAAAAAAAAAAATAAAAGAGCCATCTCATACCACATCAGTGTCTTCTTATGCCATGTCAACTGATACTTTGTGCCACATCACCTGCCACGGCATGTGCCACATTGCCCTACCATATATGCACATCAAGCCACGTCACTTGACAACTTGTGCCACATTGTCAGCACGTGCCACGTCACATATTCATTATGAAATATGCCCAAGTCAGGATTTGAGCCCTTGACCTCCACCTCCCAAGTCATAAATCCTTATTTTCTATCAGTTAAACTAAAATACACCTGCAGTTATTATATGCAAAATTATATATATATATATATATATTTAACTGCATACATATATATCAAATAATATATTATTGAAAATACACACACACACACACACATATTACTTTATTTTCTTTTATTAATATGATAAAATAATTTACATGAGTGTGTGTATATATATTATATTTTTTAATAAAATATTATTTTTTTGTAGCAAATATTATTTTTGTTAAGAATATGAACTTAAAATGAAATAATTTTTAAATATCAAATAATTTTCTTATAAACATTTTAAACAATTTTTGAATGAAAATAATTAAGTATATAATTTATTTATAAGTATGTATTATATTAGTTTACGGTAAATATCTCCTACTTTTTTTTCCATATTTTTCTTAATAATTAATAAATAAATGATTAAACTTTTATCTTCTCCCAGTTAAATGCTTCCCTTTATTTTATTAAAAATAAATTTTATCTACAATTTTTCAATTATCTTAAAAAAGTATTTTAATAAAAAAATTATTTCAATCATAGAAATTTTGTTAATAGTCATTTTAAATAATTATTCTTTATTATCTTTGAGAAAGGAAATAGGTGGACATGTGATAAATTAAAAGTAGATGCTAAACAAAAAAATCCAAATTAAAAATCTAAGTGGATGTTTCATAATTAAAATAGAAAGAATCTTGTCTTGACATGATTTAGATTAGTTTGAACTTCCATTAAGATCTCTTTAATAGAGTCAATCTCAAGATAATAGGGAATACTTTCCAAAAACTTTACAATTTAAAATAAATGAACTTTAATAAGTTTATATATAATTTCATCCATAATTTAAATATTAATATAAATTAAACAATCAAGTTTACAATTCTCATCCAATAATAATCCCAATAAATTTAACATTAACAATTAAACAATTTGAGTAATTTGAAGAACAAGAACCGGATGAGGAAACACTGCCATAGAATACGCCCATAATTGACGCTTATTTTTGTTAATACTTGATGATTTATAACGGTCAAGTAACATTGCAACATATATTAGAGCCAACTTCACTTGATAGTTAAAAACTGCTACCTATTTTCTTTGTTGCTTATTTTAAATAGCTGTTAAATATGGAGAGTCTTATTTAAATAATCTTGTAGTAGTAAAAGTAGAGTTCAACAGAGAGAGTAGATAACATGTGTATACCAAGCCAAGCATCAAATACGTAATGTGTCAAGTAGTTTACAATTCCATTTGCATCTTATAACATATATACAACTTGAACATTCCAATGCTATTTATGTATATGCATGTAAGTAAGTAAGTATTTATGTGTAACTTAGCTTGATTATAATTTGAAGAATTTTTTTTGAAATAACTCATAAAAAATTTAAAAAATAATTCATTTATAATTTATATATAACTTATCTTGATTATGTATACTTTCTTAATAAGATCATTATTAAAAAATAATCCATAAGAAATTTTTTAAATGTAATTATTAAAATAAGTTCATTATTAATATATTAGCTTAACAAGATCATTATTTTTAAAACTAATCATTATTGATCTTCTATATAATTTATTTATCATTCTATATATAAATACCTTTTGTGACAACAAATTTTTCCACTAAAAGTAATTATGTAAAGTAATTTTATAAAAAATATTTTTTAAAATTTTTGTAATTATTTTAATTTCTTAATTACTTTTTCATGAAAATACTTTTTGTCACTGCTAAAAGTCATTACATAAATTATTTTTAATTTCTTAATTATTTTTTTATGAAAATAGTAAAAGTAATTACATAAATTATTTTTAATTTTTAATAAGTTTTTATGAAAATACTTTTGGCAGTGACATTTAAAGTGATTGCATAAATTATTTTTTATTTGGGAAAATCATATACAAGGACCATTGCAATATGTCATTAATAGAAAAGGACTTATAACAGGTCACTATTTGAAAAAAAAAGAGTCATTATTCCTATTGTAATAACAATCAATTTTTATCAATCCTTGTTTGTGAATGACATTTTTCAACGGTCCTCATGTGCGAAGTTCCCCTTTTATTTTGACTTCATTATTTCATTTATGGTCAAGTTTGCAAGCATTGAAAAGAAGTTTGCATAGATACAATGTTCCTTCAATTATTGTAATAACCCTTAAAAAATATAACAAAATAATAATAATAATAATAAATAATAAAATAATAAAACAAAACAAAAAATGATAATAATAATAAATAATAAAATTTAAAAAAATTAATAATAGCATATTTTGATTGTATTTTTATAAATTTTGAGGTAGTTATAATAAAGTGAATCGATAGCTTAGTGAAAATTATTCTGAGTTTTTACTTGTTGCTTCAGAATTCAAATCTTTATGGAGCACAAGATGACTTCACAAGATGATGTGTTCATGTTTGTGAATTGTTCTGATAAATCTCTAGAAATTTAAATTTTTATTTAATTGATGATTTCACACTCTAATGGTTTTTAATTAGCAAATGTTATTATTTTCATTTATACATATATTTAATTATTTTGATTTGTCAATATCAAATGTTAAAGCTACTTTGTTATTATAGATTTAAATGTTATTGTTATGAAGTTCTTTAAAATTTTTAGTCCAAGCTAAGTTTACAAATTTGTTACTTTAAATTGCTTTCTCATTTAATTTATGTAATGGTTATATTTTATTCATTTTGATTCTACAATGGTTGGGATGTTATTTACTGAAAAATATTTGGTTTGGTCTTAGATGGTATAGCTGACCCTATATCTCTGTCAGATCCTTGAAGGCATTTTACTTCTGTGTTGAAGTAGAGATGCTATTTTGGTTAATTTGTATTTTGATAGAAATTTATGATTTATATATTTTATTTTATAAATAATGTTTTAGATTTTTAGGTGCTCCGCATAGACTATAGTTAGAGTCTTGATCTTTATATTGTGTTGTTTGGTTTTTGTTGAGGAGTGGAGCTCCCTTTTGTTAAATTAATATCATAAATTTGT